ATATATATATATATATATATATATATATATATATATATATATATATATATATATATATCTGTTTTTCTTTTCTTTAATTTTTTTTTTATTCAACTTTTCTGGATTAAAAGCACTGCTAACACACCGCATATTTGAAGGATATTCACATTTATATTTATTAAATTACCTTTAAAAGTAAATTACATGCATTTGAATACACCTTAAAGTCATTTGCAGGCCCTATGCCTAAAATTCCTGTAAGCTAAACGTAGGGCCTACTTTATTAAAGGGGTATAATGAGATGCACGTTTATTTTACTGATAGGCTCCCAGAAAGCATGTCGCCGGTGGGCCGACGTTGGGCCGCCGACTCCAACTACGTCGGCCCACCAGCTACTGTCGCCAGTGGGCCTACGTTGGCCTGACCATCGGTCCAACGTTGGCCCACCAGCGACATACAACTTGAGCGGCCCAACGTCGGCCCACCAGCGACAGTAGCAGGTGGGTCGACGTAGGTCCACCGCTTTTTTTTTCTTTATTATTCATTAATTAATTGATTTATTAATTTTTGGATAATTATATTATCATTATTATTGTCATATATAATGGACAAAATACAATGTGATATTTCAAAAGTGTTTATTCTTCTGTAATATTAAAGTACTGTAGCTACATGTTGTATATTTTTCGCGATGCAATACATGTAGGCCTACTTTCTAACTAACGACGCGGGTTCTATGGGGTGGGGGGAGGGTCACGGGAAAAATCATCAAATAATAAATTATAGAGAATACATCTTTATTCATATCTCATCGAAAATGCGAGCCCGGTAAGTTGAAAATTACGAATGACCGAGCGTAATTAGTACGTTTCACGAACGAGAAGGTATAAAAAGCCACGGGAATGGGATGTTTCACGAATAACGCTCAATATCAAACAAGTAAAAAATGAACTGCAGCAAAAGACGCATCGAACTTTTTCAAAAATATTTTATTATTATTTTTTAATTTTACAAACCGGGAGCCGCCAGTTATTTATGTGCGTTATTTGATATAAACATTCCAGGCAATTTCCGAGACATTAGACATCATACTGGCTTCCTGACAAGTTGCGAATTATCCACTTTTGTAAAAATAAACTAGATCAATTAGAGTATGTGAGATGGTACCGGTGCTGCGAGCGAGCGACAGTAAAAAAGTTTTACAGTTGAGTCCGTTCTATATGTTTTTTGTCCCAGAATTTTGATTGTAGATTTTCTTTTCCAAATCATTATTGTTATGGAAGAAGGGGGAACAGCATAAGATCTCAAGATCGAAAAGAGTCCTTGAAGAATGAACAGCTTTGTTAATAGAAATCACCGCCAAATGTATTGACATCTACTGTTTATATACTCTGCAACACACATCTTACAACCGCAGAAACACTGTATGTTTTAACAGATTTTATTTTATTGTATTTTGTAATATTTATAATAAAATTGTATTTTATTAAAATACCAAAGCGCAGTCTTTTAATGCCAGTACGCCAACAATGAATCATACATTTTTTAATTTTATGGTTTACGATACGGATAGTGTATTTTTTCTGTCACAGAGTGATTAAAACATTCCCTAAACAAGACGACGAAAAAAAATGAAACCATGCTCTAGAGACCGAGGAACACTGCCGTCGTCATGGACGAGAAGCCATCCTTGAAGACGCCAGCAGTCAGACTGAGGCAGGCGTAACGAAAAGATAGCATAGTTGTCCCCGAGACCGACTGGGTGGAGGCAGAGAAAAAGAGGTTGGTAAATGTATAAGTCAAGCGGCGAACAATTGGAATAATCTTTACCGCTGTTATTATCAATTTTATCAAATTATCAAAATGAATTAATTTCAGTGTCACATGAAAAAAACTTTCAAAGCACAAACATTCAATGCCCGCTTAGAAAAAAAGCACATTGAGGGCACACAAAACCAGTTGATTCGTGGACTAAATATGGAGTCGAGGAGGACTAATTGAACTTCAAATAATTCAAAGTATCTTATAAGCGTAAACAAAAACTAAAAGCTGTTAGTAGGCTAGCAGTAAATTGTACAATCAGAATGTACATGAAAGCATTTTGGTCTGTTACAGCTTCCAACCAAAGCATGTCCAAATGAAGCAAAGGTTGTGCTGAAGGAAGTGAAGAACACTGCCTTATCTGCGGACGAGATGCCAAACGCCGTTTTCGTTGACACTACCGGGGAAGTCACATCTCCAAAACTTGGTTTGATGGACATGGTGGACATGGAGCCAGCAACGACGTGCTCTTGTCAGCAAATTCCCACTTCCAATGGGCAAGAAACTCGACAAGGGAGCAGAAACGGGCTCAACAAGAAGAGAAACGATGTTTTCCTTTACCTCTGTTTTTGTGGTACACCAGTTAATGAACAGGAATGGGAGATTTACAACATCACAACTTCAAACTCTAAAATTTAACTATCATTGCTATATCAAATACGAATTTAAAGTTTTTTTGTCAGATTATCGGAAAGAGAGAGTGGGAGGGGATTGAAGTTACCATCATGCCGTTGTTTACAATGAATATTTAAAAATTATCAAAATGTGTCAACCTACTCGCGCACATCTTTGATTTATATAGCACATGAGGATCAAAACATTACTAGTATATGTACTGCATTACTAGTATATGTACGATTCACAATGTGCAATAATTAAAAAATGTATTTTCTAACACAATCCCTTTGTTGTCATTTTTCAAAATGATAAAAAGATAGCCTTTTTACAGCGCGCTGTTAAGATACTAAGGGAAGGGGAGGATGGCATCATGCACAGACTACCTTTACACAAGGGGTTGAACTCCCTTGACGGAAGCAGGTGAAGTAGATTGATAATTCTGGTATTTTGTCTCCTTCAGACACAGAATGTTTAGAATATATACACGGAGAAGCTACATGTACATCTCTTTGTTTTTTTCGTCCTAAATGTTCCCACAGCGTGTAAGTAACATGTGCTGAGCTTACTTACGCCCCGATTTTCGTGAGAATCGAGCGCCTCGCAAAAGAAAGAGAGAAACAATTTTTTTAATATCTTTCAACGTACAGTGTAACCCCGTCTTGGAAATTCGCCCCCTTCACTTGAGGACTCTGATGTTAGCTGTTGTCGATTTTACTTTTAAATGAAAAGCGTAACAAATGGGATCGTCCTTTGCGTTCAAATCATAAACATATTTATTTAATTACTTAAGACATCTTTACATTTTATTTATCTCTGAAAATCTATCGAAAAGTCCATGTGTGACACTGGAAGAGAGTACTCTCGCTTTCTGACTCTCTCTCGCTCTCTGTCTCATTATAATTATACTTCATTATTCTTGTTGGTGTTGCTGCTGTTGTAACAATTAAATTGCCCATTGCCGATAAATGATGAGTTCACACTCTACCTATGTGCTGTGAGTTAATTGTTATCTGAAAATTTAACGTTACACTGGACGGCGCCCTTTCTGCGTCTTTTATGCGACCATAACCTGGCATCGCTGTGGTCGTAGACAGGAGGCATAAGCATCGCTTTGGTTGCGAATGAGTGCTCAATGATCGGCCAGTTGTCGGCACGTAAAATATTTTTTACTCTCAAACGGGGCCGTAGTACAGGACGCAGAAAGGACGCCGTCCAGTGTAATGTTAAAATGTCAGTGTAGTAATGTAGTCAATAGTCAATGTAGTAATTTGCAAGCTATTGGAAAGTAGGTCAAGAGTTCACAAATAGGATATGCCATTCTTAGGGGAGATAGGATATGGCCTTTAGCATTTGCTCATTCTGCCAATTCCGAGAAGAAATATCAGTATCTTTCATTGTGCTTAGTTAAAATAAATTCGAAGAAGTGCATTATCTTTCGTGTATCGCGCGTTTCTTCAGATGTAAGTAAATACAAAATATCGACAGAAAACCTTAATCCCCTCTTGCGAATGCAATGTATCGTCTGCAGAGCATCTGCGTCCGCCACAACGCTGGATGCTTCGCGCTTCCCGGGAGCTGAACAGTTAACGCGGTCTGCAAAAATTTTAGGGAGAGCCAGATGAAATACAGAGGGATCGTGGCGTCTGTAAAGTTCTACATGGTGAAGCTGGAGATTTGGGCTAAATCCGCTCCTCTCTTCAAACGTTTGCAATATACACTGTCTTTTAGTGGCCTCATGCAACCAAAATATTTTGCTGACATCTTAATGCCTCTCCCACTTCTGTCTCTCCCTAAAACAGTCCACACTAAAAAATCAATAATCGAATGGCAATTTTATACAGGCAATTGACCTACTTATATACCCATGCAGCTATCATCGAGTTTTATGGCCGTGGAGTGAAAACGTAATACACGTCTGTGATATAAAAGTTATTTCTAATTACATAATCTACAAACAGTGCGTGTAGATCAAAAGTGTTCCAATTTGTGAGCAAAAGAGGACTTCACTTTTTGAAAATAATGAAAAAATGGGAGACAAGCCAAAATCAGAAAATAATGCATTTTTCTCTTATTATATGCAAATTAAGTCCCCTCAAGTAA